TATTAACACTCTCCGAATATACTGATGCATTTCCATTTCCAATGGAGCAATCGGCAGCAGATTGAAGCTTGCAATGTAGCATGGAAAGACGACAGATGGCCTTTTGCCGCGCTATACCCTTCTCCGTCGTGCTGCATGGTAAGGACTGACGTGACCTTTTCGGCCTTGTTCTGCACGATACCTCGGCAAGTGACGTTCAGAAGAGTTGTAATGGCATTGTCAACCAGTCTGCAAGCAGGGCTTCGGCATACTTCCGATGTAAAAATTCGACGGGGAATCGAGTGGCAAACGGTTTGCGCCGGATTGGGTGACGGGGTTCTGATGCACGGTTCCAAAACATTCTTTCTCGCAAAAATAAACTAAGAAACTATAAATAAATGCTGAAAGAATCTTTACATTAATTGGACATAATCAAATCCGAGAAATTCCATCTGCAAAATTTTGGAAATGATAACGACGAAGTGATTGACCTTGAGTCCGTAAGTAATGACCGCTTTGAACACGACATGAACACTGCACGTGTCTTGCTGCGCCAGCAGGCGGCGTTCAGGTTTCAGCCGCGCGACATTGACGCCACTGGGCGACGGGCCTGAATCCCCACATGTGTCGGGCAGCGCCGCGCCACACCCAACTGGGTCAATGTCTCACGACCGCGGCCGGAGAGGGCGGCATATTTCATGGGCGGTAATGGCCGGCCGACAGCTCGCGGCCACCGTCTCTACATGACGCCGCGTCCTGTCCAACACTTGGACAATGGCTGTCTCCGGCACTAAGAGCCCCCGTTATCTCGACACAGCCGCAGCAGAAATCGCCTGCGCCGCTGTCGGAGGCAGCAGTTCGTTTTCCGAGAGATTTAATAACGGCCAGTGCATCTTAACTCAGCGGGGGAGCAGGCCGCTCAGAACTGTTAAAAGAGAAACGGACTAGCCGGCAACGATGAAAAATGTTTTCTTGCTGCGTGTGAGTGACCCTCTTTTACAGAGCAAATCTTTCTCTGAATTATTCCGAAAAGCTCCTCACCGAAGCAGCAAGGAAAACGCCACTGCTTTATCAGAAAACCATGTAAGGTTACGGGTGCATATAATGGTTCGACTTAGTCATGTCCATTTCAGGTGATTGCGAAATGTTGTCCACATAGATGCCGGTTTGTATGACCGCACTGGGGCAAGAACTGACAGATTCGTGGTCCACTACGCTTTCCGCCGGTCTATCCACACATGCCATATATGACATTTTTACGGTGTTTTGATGTGCCCCAGGAAGCGCTACAGTATATGTCCCGGTGCGTGCCCCTGTTACGATTTTTTCAATATAGCCAATATTTTTCAATTCATCCTGCTTTTAAGCGCTGTCCTTTTTTAAAACATGAGTTAATCAGCAGCCCGAGTATAGAAAACCCATGCTGCTGATGAAATGCAGTTTATCAAATAGCCACTACATCTACACGCACAATGCGGTTCCGAGCAGGTCCTTACGACGCTGAAAGTTCTTCACCAGTCATTATTATAAAAGCTCTCCCATTTAGCTAGATCCCTCATACCAGAAAAGACTATCGCTGCGACTCGGCGGTTTCAGTCTTGACGTACTAAAGAGACTTAGTAAATGTAAGATAAACTGAAGAAGTATTGACTTCATAAATGTAAGTCAATATCTTGGATTTAATAGCCACACAGCACCTGCATCTTCGCGCGCAAGATGTGTGTCTTTTTTCAACGTAAACTGCCTTTAGACTAAAGCAATTAACAAATCAGAAGTAGCTGAGAACAGCTGAACAAACAGGCGGAAAGTGGAAGTGAAAGATGTGAAAATAGAAACTGAGCACCGTCTAATCTTATGCATAACATAATATGTACACCAACCCAATTTGGTTTAAAATAATCTCGACGATACAGTAGGTAACGACAGAAAGCGTATCACAAGCCACAATCGCACCACTGCGCTGGTGCCGCGTTGACTGAAATCATAGAAAAGCGACAAAAACATTCACGCGATTATCACTGACCAAATAATTAATGCAAAAAGTCAGTCCTGCATCGTTTTAATACTGCAGGCTCACACACTGACACCGTGCGGACTACTCTGCATGTAATATATCATACAGCATTTTTTTGTATATCGGGCAAGAACGCACCGTATATTACGTATTTTAAGTGACCAGTTGGTGTGCTGTGCGCGAGGTCACTAGCACCACAGCTTCTGGTAGGAATCGGTGAGAAGATGCTCATCCGACAGTTTGGGGGCCATTCAAATTTGTAAATTTGTGAACGGAGTCGATGAAACCCACTTACTCTGCCATTCATCTGCTCGATATTCTAGTGCGAAATGGCTGAATCAACGACTGGTTGCTGCTGCAGCCAGTTACCTGCTCATTCTGATATTATTGAAAAACGACACATTGAAAATGTACGTGCATATCCTACGGTACTACTGATCTAGAATGTTTTAGAACGTTACCTCAGGTTTGATGTGACACTGAATTGGACCGGATTTCACGCGTGAACATCAAATCCAACACGCCACATAAACAAGTTCTCCTGCACCTAGTTCGCTACAAAATCTACTACAAAAACACCATATCTTCCGATCATAAGGTGGACGAAAATGTGTTTAAAGACCCCAACTGGGACATCAAACAAGAAATCACCAAGACGAACTAAAAGTCATCACCCTTTTCAAAGACCACACAACATCCCCTATCAAAATTACACGCATGTTATATACAAAAGATCCTGTTGTTTTGAAAGGGTTTACCGTGTGCCGTAGTGCATGCACTTTAAACAGATGTCGAAATGAGATTACGCACATTTTACAAACGCTGATAAAGATGGACACACCTCGGCAACTCTGAGCAGACGGCTGTCTTTCCACTAACCGAACGGCGGTCAGCGGAGGCGTACCAAGCAGTTTTACTAAGGGAGTCTAACCAGGCAGGACGACGCTGCTGACCAGGTAATCTGATAAAAACAAGCGATAACTTACAACACTGGATACGTTTAAAGTCGTCACTATGTCATGGTCGGCACGGATGTAATCGCTTCTGTGATCACACAAATCCGTGATTGGGACGAAATCGACGCACAAGTTGACGCCCGCGGAATTCTGCAGCTTCTGGTCATGCTTCGCTTGGACGTAGAGCTCAGCTTCTCTTGACATCAAATAGAAATATGGCTATGATTTGTACTTTTATGCGACGAATATGTTTAATCCGTGGTATGTTTCAGTTGTCATCGCATTATTGACCCCATTATGCTCGCGTGTGAAGGAAGCCTTATTTCATCGTCTGTTTGAGCTGTCATCGCATTCTTGATACTGTTCGATGTGCTCACACATCACGCGCCGCGCGTATTGCGCCTTCCAGCTGCGTTACCCTGCGCCGGGGGACGTGTTTGTTTTTCGGCGCTCCCCCGGGATTTCGAACGCTCGCAGAAGCCTGGTTGGCACGCTGACAGATGAGCCGTCGGCCTCCAGCCTGGCAGAAATTCTCGGCCATCAGTATCCGTCGGGCTTCGAGACGTTGCCAGAGCGCGCGCGGGCGAGCAGGCGGTCCCCCTGGCGGCCCGACTATCCGCCTCCGGGGAGCCTGGGCGGAGTGCTAGGCCATGACGGCCAGCAAGTTGGCCGGTTGACGGGCTGCTCGGTGCGGGAAGGTGTGACGCATTGGAGTTTTAATGACCGGCAGGAAGCTATTAATCAACAGGCGTAACTGGCAGGAGCGCGCTGTTGGTACTTGAAAGTTTTGAGATAGTCAAACCGTGATAGTTTGTCCTGCGAACTATGGCGCTTTCGGTAGGGGATGCTCTGAGCTGATTATATTCTGAGCGTGCAATTATCCACGTCCGTGTGTATGTGACATGGATGCCCGTTTCCTGTATGAAGACACTTATTCTTATCCGGCAGGCCGGGTGTTTTCAGTTAATGGGTCTCCACTGATCACGCTGTGAAATGGCATCCGGTTGCAAATTCTAGGAGCGAAAGATCAACTACTCAAAATGACAACCAGATGACTTCATTATATGCCCAGTAAAATTCAGTGGAAGTCCTCGAGGGCCGTGGGTAGAGACTGGAAGCAA